AAGAATCAACATCAAGTATTCCAAGTTGATAAATGTCAAAAAGCCTCAGACAACTACAATTGCACTTTCTTGTTTGTTCAATGGACTGCCTGCTTATTTAGAAGGCATTTACACAGCACAAAAGACAATGATTTGAAAGAAATATGGAGAGCAATAATGATCGCAAACTCCTGGAGACTGATTCAATGCTTTTAACTGAACGTGTTTCTTAATTAACAAACTGTTTGTCACAAAATTCCCCATGCAATATTTGTGGATGTGTGAGAAAATAGTCTTAGCCACTATATTAACAGTCACCAGTAACAGCAATACAGCTAAAACTTGCAGTTCAATGCTGAACTCAATAACAGCAGCTACAGCGAGATATAAATCTTTCATTACATAGATGCTATTCTTAAAACAGTAATCATACGACTTTCAAGAAATCCCCTGATGTGTTGCATTGTACATAATGAATATGTCTAGTTCCTAAATGCAAACTTACATATATTAACATTTCAAAGAAATAGCAGCCAGCTAACTAATTAGTTAATAATAGTGAGTGTCACTTACAAGGCAAGCTAAATGATTTTTACTCAAATGATGGACATCAAGACCATTTCACATAGTGGTAAAGTATGTTTTTAAAGTAAGGAATGATGGTGACATTATAGTCTACCAATATCCACATCGATTTTTTGTTAAGTATTTGAAAACTCGCTAATCAACTGTATTTTTTCATAAGATCGATTATCGCACAAAACAGTTTGAGTAATGGAGAAAAGCAGCAAGAAAATGCATAATGTCTTTAGTTTCCGCTCTTCCACATTGTAATCTTGGAAGTACACTACTCCAAAAGGTACATCAAAAAATTTTCTGCATTCTGCTTCCTACTAAGGAAACTGTCCATTTTCTACATGCAGAACAGTAAAACCAAGGATACAAAACCATAAGAGCAGAATAAAGCCATTTGGCCCACCAACTCTACTCTGCTATTTCATCATGACCGATATACTTCACAAACCCATTCTCCTGCCTTTTCCTTGTATCCCTGGAACACTTTACCAATCAAGAACCTGTCTATCTCCATTCTAAAATACACTCAATGACTTGCCCTGCACAGCCATCTGGAACAATGAGTTCCACAGATTTACCACTCTCTGGCTGAAGAAATTCCTCCTCTAAAGGGACATCCATTCACTTGGAGGCTATGCCCTCAGGTCCTAGTCTCTGTTACTAGTGGAAACATCTTCTCCACCTTCAATCTATCCAGGCCTCTCATTATTCTGTAAGTTTCAGTGAAATCTTCCCCTATCCGTCTAAACTCCGTAGTTATAGAGTCCTCAATTGCTCATATGACAAACCCTTCATCCTCAGGATCATTCTTGTAAATTTCCTCGGAACACCCTCCAACACCAGCACATTCGTCCTTAGATATGGCACCCAAAACTGCTCACAATAATCCAAATGGCACCTGACCAGAGCCTCATACAGCCTCAGCAGCACATTCCTGTTCTTGTATCCTAGCCCTCTTGAAACAAACGCTGACATTGCATTTTCCTTCATCACTGCCAACTAAACCTGCAAACTAAATCTTAATTGAACTGCTGTACTCTGACAGTGGGGAATGCTCAACGAGACCTGACTGTCCTCATGCACCAGTCATTGAACGTAAGCACGCAGGTGCAGTGGGCAGTAAAGAAAGCAAACTGTATGCTTGCTTTCATAGCAAAAGGATTCGAGTATAGGAACAAGGATGTCTTGCTGCAGTTGTACAGGACATTAGTGAGGCTACATCTGGAATGCTGGGTGTAGTTATGGTCTTCTTAGTAGAGGAAAGATGCTCTTGCTGTACAGGGAGTCCAGCGAAAGTTTATTAATTCCTGTGATGTTAAGATTATTATGAGGAGAGATTAAGTTGGTTAGGTTTGCATTCACTGGAATTGAAGAGAATGAAGGAGATCTCATAGAAACCTATAAAGTTGACAGGCTAGATGCAGAAAGGTTGTTTCCTACGGCAGGGAGTCCATAACTTGGAGTCATAGTTTAAGGATAAGGGTAAACATTTTAAGACTGACATGAGAAATTTCTATACCCAGAGTGTGGTAAGTCTTTGGTGTTCACTGGCGTAAAGTGGCTGAGGTCAAAATGTTGTATGTTTTCAAGGAGGTGGTAGATGTACCTCTTGTGGCTAAAGGGATCAAGGACTATGGGGAGAGGGCAGGATTAGGGCATGGAGCTTGATGATCAGCCATGATTATAATGAAGAGTGGAGCAGTCTTGCAGTCTTGAGTGGCCGACTTGTGCTCTATCTTCTTTGGTTATATAAGCCAACCCACTTATTTCAGGTATCAATCTCACAAACCTCAGAACTGCCTCCAATGTATCCTTGCCTAAAGAAGATCTATGTGTGGTATTCAAGATATGGTGTCACCAGTGCCCTGTCTAACTGAACCACAATATCCTTACTTTTATGATTGGTTCTTCACATAATATAGGATAGCATTCCACCGGACTTCTTGATTACATGCTGTACCTGCATACTAACATTTTGTTGCTCATTAACTGGAACACCTTGAACCCCCTGCACATTGGACTTTTACAGTTGTTGCCTCTAAGTAATACACTGCTTTTTTTTAAATTCTTCCTGCCAAAGTGAATAACTTCACATCTTACTACATTATACACCATCTACCAAATTTTTGTCCATTCATTAAGCTTATATCTATCCGGAAACTGTTTACGCCTTCTTGACAAAATACTTTCCTATCTATCTTTGTGTCACCTGAGAATTTTATTACCGTGCTTTTATTCCCTCATCCATCCCATTGGTGTGAATTGCAAAAGGTTGAGGTCTGAGCACAGACTTCTGCAGGACTCCACTTATCACACCTTGCCAATCAGATAATGATCTATTTATGCATTTTCTGTTTTCTACCAGCCAGTCAAACTCTTGCCCATACAAATTCACTACCCCTTATACCATGAGCATTTATTTTCTGTAATAACCTTTGATCTGGCACCTTATCAAATAACTCTGAAAATCAAAGTACTGTACATCCTTGGGCTCCCCCCTATCAACAGCATGTAACTCTTTGAAAGCAGAATACTATGTAGTTTAAATATGATTTCCTTTCCAGAAAACACGATAACTCTTCCCTTTAAACTTGAATTACATTAAGTGAGCAGCTTTAACCTTGTTAACGATCAATGCTAACAACCCCACAACAGACGCCAAGCTAACTGACTTACAGTTTCCAGTTAACTTCTCAGGGAATGATCACACACCAATTTTGATGAACAATATTCAATGTAAACAACATTCAGTTATGTCAAATGTTCTTCGTGGGATTAACTATGGTCTGTGTAATTGGTGGAGAGCAGACTTCTTTTAAGAAGTTATGTAGTAAAATTGATGGTGGGGTTTATAGCATGAGCATATAATAGTTATTAGAAATAAGTAATAAAACCTTCTAATAAAAGAACACGTAAGACAAACAACTAGTGCCCAGTCTGAATTAAAAACAAACTTTACTTGGTTCGTGGATGTGGCCCCCAAGTTGGTAGGTGCGACAGCTTTTGGGGGTACTGAGCTCTGAAGCAGAAATGGCTGCCGTGGAGCTTGGATTCAACACTATCAAGTGTGAGGTCTCTTTAATTCCTCATGCCACAACACATAGGCATGACATACAATCCGTGAATTGTGTTTGTGGCCACAAAAATGCTTATCTATTTCCCTTACAATGGAGTCCACTATGACTATGGCATTTCCACACTTTTTGCTCTTCTCTTGTGCAGTAAAGCCAATCTGCTGATGATGCCAGATATTTGGCTGTTGCTGTTTTCTCCCCAAAGAGGCTACTTCCTTCACCAGTATCCAAAGCAGTATATCTGTTTTTTGGGGAATGGCCATAGGGGATTCTTGCACTGCCTGCCAAGTTCTCCTATTATTCCTGGTGGTCACACATTCCCTTGCTACCTGCAGAGTCTTAGCCAGAGGTGGGAGCACCTCTCTGTATGTTCCGTCTACAATTCTTTCAGCTTCATGGATGCTCCACAGCGTCTCTAGCCACCACTCCAACTCTGGATAGGTTGAGGATAGGTTGAACATACTAGGCTCTTTTCCACTGGAGGTTGGAAGGGAAAGGGGGTGTCTTGACTGAGATGTATAAGATCTTGAAGACCTTAACAAGTTGCTTGTGAAAAGGATGTTTCGTCTTGCAGGTGAGTCCAGAACTAAGGGGCACTGTTTTAAAATTAGCGTTTGTTCATTTAGGACTGAGTTGAGGAGATTTTATTTCTCTGTACAGAAGGTTGTGCAAATTGAAACCCTATGCTTCTGAATATATAGCTTAAAGTGGGGTCATTCAATACTTTAACGCAGAGGTAGATAGATTTGTGTTAGGGAAGGGAATCAAAGATTATCATAGGTAGATGAGAATGTGGAATTCAAAATGCACATAGGTTAGCCATGACCTTATTGAATGGCAGAACAAAGGTCAGAAAGTCTACCTCTGCTTGCATTTTGCACATTTCTTCTTGATGAATGTGACTGATTAAATGGTTCAAATGACATTAAAGATCAAATAAATAAAAATCCTTGCTTTTCATTATTTGGATATTTTGAGGTCTTACCATCTGTAATTTGCTTGTAGAAGCAGCAATAAATCTGAATGTCCCTTTACATTTCAATAGTAGTATCAGATAAATAGATATTATGGAATTGTCATATTATGATAATATTCTAGCTACCTCATTTACAGTAACAATTTGATTTTAAATTTGATTGAAATAATTAAACAGGAAAAAGGCTCAGTTTCTGAAGGCAACTGATAGTTAATTGAATGTAAAATAAAATTTATAATCATTCAATAATTACTTGACTTTCTGTCAATAACACTACAGTTCTACAAAGAGATACCTGTTATAGGTGAAGAGCGCATTTTCAATGGAATGACTAACACATTAGTTGCAGGTACATTGAAAGCTATTTTAAATAAAAATCTATTGGTTGCACATACCTGCAATGATGAGCTCGTTCTGGCTTAATACTGCAACACTTTGGGCACTTATAAATCACCTCCCCTGGCTTCAGCTGTAGGCTCTCCATATACTCTTTTGTGGCATTGCCTTTAGGCACTGCGCCCTGTGCAAAGAAACCATTAGAACTAAGTTAACACCACAGAACTAATGGGGAGCTTAAAACTGAACATAGTATTTAAACTGTGGCCAATTAACATTTTGTACAATTACATTAATACTTCTGCAATCTTAATTCTTGTATACTCTGTCCCAGCATATTAATTCCCAGAATCCCTCTGAAATTGTAATTTTCTGCCAGTCAAGGTGTAAAAACAATGTCTTTCCATTATAGATATCCTCCCATTGGAACAGTTTTCTATCTTAATGATCTTGTATAAATACAAGTTGTCATGCATTTTCTCTGAAAGGATATTGCCTCACACTTATCCAGTTTACCTCAATTTACCTCAACTATTATCAGTCATACAACTTCCTATTTACATTGTTACAATACTTATCCAACATTGTTCAATTTTTCTAACATCTCTTGTCAGAGAGCTTATGAATAACTATCACATGATTGTTTATTTCTTACTTAATTGCTATGGTCAAAATTAAACAAAGTATTGATTTCTTCAAGTATCTTCGAGCTATCAATATCCTTTGACTGATTTTTGGCTTTTATCTTGTCCTTTCTTTACAGGTATTCAGGTTGGTTATCAAAATTGTTCAGATTTATTTGTTATCACATCCATGGTAGATATTCTGCACTGTTGCAATTTTCAGACTGCTCCAGCTCAATAAATCAAATAAACTGTTCTCTTTTAATATGGTGGAAATTTTGATATATTAGTCTCAAATTCCTGACAAGTGTCAATTGAAGAAGAATTTCAAGCTTTTCTGTGCATTTATGACTGTTGGATGACTGTTACTGAAATCTCATTCGATAATAATGTTGTACTAATAATACAGTTAACAACACAGAATCAAAAATGGTAGCCGTTTCCAGAACTTCAAAGGCAACAATTGGATCTTCCTTCAGTGTAGATAAATATTCAAACAAAAAGGCAATGATTTTTCTCTCAAAATACAGTTTACAGATATTTTTAGTCCACCTGTTCAGAGATATTTTTATACGCCTCTGGAGTAGGTGGGACTTGAACACAGGCTTACTTGCTCATAGATAGGGACACTTCCACTGCACTGTCAGGCCCTTTTTAAAATGCTTGCTATTCGTTTCACCTACGGTACATTCAAATGCTAATTTCTATTTCATATTCCTTCAAAGAAATACCCGATACTGTCAAATACTGTGTGTAACAATCAGGCTACAAACATTTAAATACAGGGTGGAACTCTCCCAGCACCTGAACAACATAAGCCATAGGGAGTCAAATTGGTGAGAATGGGAAAATGGTATTCTTGATATTGAGAATAAAAAATCTGCTTTTTGCCACTGTAGATTTGAATGGCAGGACAAGAACTTTGCTAATAAGCAGTCAGAATCAATTTGCAGGAAGTGACATCTAACTTTTACCTAATTATTTTTCTTGATTCATTCACAAGATGAGGATGTCGCTGGCTAGACAGCATTTATTGCCCATCCCTAATTGCCCGGAGGACAGTTCAAAGTCAACTACATTGCTGTGGGTGTGGAGTCACATGTAGGCCAGGTCAGGCCAGGCCAGGTAAGGATGGCAGTTTCCTTTCCTAAAGGAAATTAATGAACCAGATGCGTTTTTCCGACAATCAACAATGGATTCACGGTCATCATCAGACTCTTAATTCCAGATATTTTACTGAACTCAAATTCCACCAACTGCTGTGGCAGGATTCGAACCCCGGTTCCTAGAATGTTACCTGGGTCTCTGGATTAACAGTCCAGTGACAATACCACTAGGCCATCAACTCTCATTTATATGCTGTTTGCTATTTACCAGGCTGTGGACGGTAACTAGACGGTGATAATTTCAGACACCAAAGTCTGAACGGCTACCTGGCAGCTCTAGCTTGTTACTTGCTCCTCCAGGCCTCCATCTTTGCCAGCAACCCCAACATCTCAGGGCACACTCCATAGACAGCAACTACCTGAAACTCTTTGTTCAACGAGCTTGGCATTGGACACGTACCACCCTCACTATATCATCAAGGCACATCTTCACTTCAGGTAAAATACAGGTCGCCACTTCAATACTGCACTTTAAAGCACATCGACACCTTATGTCACAATACTGCTGCCAAAATGCTTCGTGAAGAGGGTCAGATATCCACCTCATGCATTGGAATAGAGTACAGCTCAGGGGGCTGAGCTTGATTTCTTAGCTCTCATTCACTTTGCACCTTGGATGCGCACAGCATCTCTGTCTTGCCTGTCTACATTGCTGTCTCATTGAGAACTTATAGCCTCATAGCAGTTCTGTCTTGTCTTGCTGTGCCTCCTAGTACAGGCATGAAGCCTGTATTGGTTGTTAGCAATGGTTAGACAAGGAGAGGAGATTTTGCTGTATAGAACTGTACTACAACAATGTCACACTTGCAGCAACCCACTTGTGGCAAATACACTGCATTCATACAACTTCAACCAAATGACCATTTCTTAAACTCTAAAGGAGTAGTGCTCAGTCAAAACAGGGGGACTGTTGTCAATCACTGGGTAACAGCCCAGAAGTTCTGATCTCAGTTTGAGTGCCTGGACTTGGTCAGTCAGATGCTTGGGCTAGCGTCTGGGGGTCAATACCATTAGAGTCTGGGGGACTGGCCACAGTCAGTTCTGCAGGTACAGTGTAACTAATAGGTCAGTGGAGGAGCTGCAGAGATTAGTCATGGGTCTGATCCCGTATCAACAGGTGCTGCCTTTCCAAGTCAGTTAAAGGGTGTCAGTCTGGAGATCTGTTCAGTCTAAGTCAAGAGGGGCTATGAGGGTTACTGTTGTGGTGGGCAAATTGGGGAAATGAATTGTGAGCATTGAAAGCAGCATTCTGAATGCAGAGGAGATAAAAATTGTGAAGGGCTCTGCAACTAAAACATATTAGAAAGGAAAAAATGACAGAATGTGGGAGAGCAAGAGGTACTATGGAAGGTGGTCACCACTGTCCTGGCTTCCATAAGGGGGTCAGTGCATAACAACATTTGCCGTAATTAACCCTTTTGCCTCGGGTTAAATGAGTAAAGTGGGGAGATGAACAGCTAAATAAGACAGCTGAGTGGAAATATGGGGAAGATCAAGCTGAAGAGGTTGATAGGGAGGACGAGGCAAAAAGAAAGAAAGATTGGGGGGAGGATGGAAGATTGAGAAAGATGGTCACATAGATTAAGAGGCTGAACCTGCAACTCACTCCGTAAAGCGCCACTTGTATTGTCTTCCACCCTACTCCAAATTGTAAGAGCGCAATCAAAATAAAAGATGGCTGCCACCACCCCCAGAGTGGGCAGAGTAAGTGTTTCTTTTCTCTCGGAGGAAGTGGGCTCGAGTTGTGAGTGATCGGAGACCCCACAAGGGGCAACTGCATTAAATAGATACTCTGACAGTCCAGACTAAAGACATTTGTTGTCACATAAGTCTGCATGTGAACCTCAGCATTGAATACAGGTCTCGACTAAAAATCCTGACTATATCAATCATGGCTGTGAAGTGTAAATAACGTCAGGCGAGCTGAAAGCTTCACCTTAGTTCCACAACTCAATCACCTTCCACAAGGTACAGGAGCTACTCACTTCACGGCATGGGCTTTAAAACGTCCATAACGCAAAAGTACTCGCAATATTGTCTTTCTTCGGTAATGTGGAGGTTGGAGAAAAAGGAGAAGTTCTAATTCTTGCACCATTCTTACAACCATCTACTGAATGTGTGTCAGCCTACATCTGAATCAGGTCAATGACGTGAAAGTCCAGGCTGTCCATTGCTCTCCTTGTTGCAAGCATCCATTTCCCAAAGTTTTGATGGGTGCTACTTATATGTCATTTGTGTTAGTTGTGCAACTTTTGAATGATCAACATTTCTGAAGAGTTGCTTTGTTTCTTATATTGCCCATTTGGGCTATTTGGAATCGTCTCCAGTAGATTCAGAAACAGAAGCAGCTGTTATCTCTGTGACCCTTACAACGAGAGGGTCCTGGGCTTCCAGATAAGGATCACATGTATCTGGAAGCCCAGGACCAACATCAAACTTTAGCAGATGTGATGCAGTCTCTCAATGCAGAGTTTCAAGCCATAGGTGCTCTCATGCTGTGGCAAAATGCATGAGATCCACAGTCGTCTGTCTTCTATGGGGTAGTTTACAGATGAGAGGAGGGCTATGGCGCTATCCTCTGATCAGAGGTGAGTCAAAACGTCATGTCAAGATGTCCAGCTTATCAGCAATGCAACACCTTCTATCACTGGGACCATCAAGAGCCATAAGGTGTCTCCTCAGTTGTAAATTACAGCCAGGGTGAAGGTAGAGGAGCCTGGCACCTCTGGAGTATCCAGACAGGAGATTGCTGGAGAGCCTGTATATGATTTCTCTTCCAACTGGCTGCCTGCTGGCACTGCCTTGTCTTGAGAACAAGGGATCCCTTGACACCGCATCCCCCCCACCCCACCCCATCACTTTGCTGTTAGCGGTGAGTGTGAAGGCTACAGTAATGGAGTGCAAGTCGGCTTTTATCCAGCAGGCATTGAGTGCGCTGGACCTGTCTCTCTATGGCAATTTCTAACATGTCTGTGGAGACAGACAGATACATGCATGGTGGAGGCAGCACTGTACAGATAGATTTGGAGGACTCCTCTGCCTTTGATCTGGATTCTGTGTGTGTTTCTGACACCGCTTCTCCACCTGTTGTGCATCTGAATGAAGTTATAAATGACCAACACCATGGTGTGCTCTCCCTGCTTGGGAGCTGGACAGGTGTCTGTTTTCTGAAAGTCTGGAGTACCAGTGACCTGGGTCATCTCTTCCTTGGCATGACAGCGATGTGTTCACCAGAATGTGTTCCCAAGCCTAATCAAGCTACAGTACAGACCAAGGTGTCATTATTTGGGCTGGTGGAAGTTGCAGGAGATAGCCTTGCCAACACTTCCTCTGAGAATTTGTGTCTTCTTCTTCAGATATGATAGAGGAGCCAATGTCTGGAGGGTCTACTCTTTTAAGGTGTAGACTATGTGGATGCCACTGCTAGCTGGAAGAAACAAAAGATGGAACGGGTTGCAAAGTAAGTTTAGAAGTTTGGACATGTTAAGAACATGTACACACTGCTGGAGATGGGAGAGCGGCGTAGCACTTGACAATGGCTCTTACTTAGTTGCCGGGACATGGAGGTTTTGGTATTACCATATGAGCAGTCATTGTCCTTTCCTGCCAAGGCAAGGATTCTGTCTTTGCAGAAGGTGAGGAAATGGATGTCGGACACCACCTGTCTTGGCTTTCTCTTCATTGTTGTTGGCCGATTTCTCCTGGAATTAAAAAAAAATGGAGGGATCAAGTGAGATGAAAGTAGCTGCGCAGTTGTTAGTGCTTGTGCAGGTAGGGGAAAGGTGGTGATATATTCTGAGTGAGTGAGTAGGAAGCACAGAGGGCAGAAATAGTTAGGAGTCCAGTGATGGGCTGGGGTGGGTAGTGCCACTGAGGGATAATGCTGCAAGCAGTAGTGAGAGTGGTACCGCATGAACTTTGGTGGGAGGTGGGTGCAGGAGTAGAGTTAGAGTGAGTGGGCGATAGCAGAGAGAGGATGATATCACTTAGCCCTCCAGAGCACAGAGGTCATGAACCCATTCCCCCATTCCATTGACTGACCCGAGTGGCAAACCTCAGACCAGGCTGGCATGGTTTGGTGCCATGGTCTCCTCTGGTTGCCCCGAGGAGAACACCTGTCCACGTGCACCTCTAAGGTCGATGCTGGCAAAGTGGGATACCAACCTCCCTTTCTCAGCTATGTCCTTGAGATCTCTGCAGCAATAAACTGTGAATGGCAGTGTCTGGTTTGCAGCATTTGTCCCGCTGTACAGCTGAGATTTAAATATGGCACAAATCCCAGAAAGTCCTGGCAGCAGGTGAGCACATAGGCCATTGGTGAGTGCAAAGTAGCATGAGAGCAGCATCACAGAGGCGTTGAGCATACATGATGAGGTGAACAGTGGAGAATTTCAAGGCATGTCACTAGAGTTCATGGAGAAGAAAACTTCCATGAAACTCCTCGAAATTGACACTTGCTGATTTTTGGTAAAAATTCAGCCCATGGTGTTTAACTAGTGTCATGCAATTTTTTATCAACACTTTAAGCTTCAGTTCAATGTGAAATATTCTGAGGTACTGATCTTAATTTTGTGCAAAATGACTAAATCAAATATAAAAAGTTATTTGGAGAATAAACAAGTTGAAGATGGCCACAGACAGCAAAATTCAAATTTCAGGTCTTTTTTGATAATGCTGCACAATATTCTAAAAATGCAGCAGAGTGGGAAACATATTCCCATTTTCAGCATGCCTTTGTCCCCCTTAAAATTGGTTTCCCATCTCTTCATTTTGGAACCTTTAGCACTTGCTTTACAGTGTTCATCACAGACTTACAATTGATTCTTCAATTTCATACACAAGATTATATTAAAGGTTCGTAAGAAATACTGGTCAAATGCTCTGGAATGTTAAAGTGTAATAGGATAATACAATTCCTAGACTTCCTGGTCTGAATTTAATTCAGTTCTGTTCCAATATTTTTGACTTGGTATCAAAATATTCTCTGACCCTCATTAAAATGCACTTTTTGCATGACAATTACTCAGTTTCCAACTAGTTAATTTGTTGGAATCACAACAGAAAAAAATTCTTCAGTGGCTGACACTTAGGTCAAATGATCAAAATATAATAAAGATGCTGTTAAAATTTATTACTGGTAAACAATATTGTTTAGTCCCTGTATTCAGAAAAAATTTGAATAAAGCTTCAAATCTTTGACCTGGAATTAACCAATTATTCAGTTGAAAAAAAATCTCATTTCCACTGAACAGCTGAAAACAGAAGAAGTGCAAACAGAAGAGTAAATAGTTTTAGGTGTGCTAAAACATGAGTCATGTCAGTACACAGCAACTGCCAACATAGCAAAACGTTCAGTCATCATAGTAAGTTATCACAGTGACTTTCGAGCAGGGAGGGGAAAGTTATTGAATAAGCAGAAAAATCAACCAGTATTTTCAATGGTACGAGGTGGTTTCACATTAGGAGCACCAGCCGGTGGTCCAACCCATTTTGTATCAGACAGATAGGATCAACTCAAATTTATCTGATATCCTGCCAAAATTATTCGTACATGTGCATTTCATGAAGGCAGTTGGCCATTTAAATGATTAGTTGCCTCAACATGTATCTGATTCTGGAGTCTCCAGCCCAGAATATGCAGAGTAGACCAGCTAAGAGCAGGTCTGTTTTCAATGCAATTCTTTCAAATAGCCACATTAGGTGCTGAGGTACCCCTGTGGATTTGGTTCAGGTATCAGGGCTCAGGTATTGTTGGGAGTGAGGGTCCAGTGGTCCTAAGGGAGAGGGTCAGATAACCTTTGGTCTTACTGAGAAGAAGATTGTGTGTAAAAGGTGCATAAACTGATTGGAACAGTCGAACTTGTGAAAAGCATCAAGAAGTGTCAACCTGTTAAGAACTGCTAAGAAGTGTCCATATATGCAGAACTGTCCTAAAATAGCAACCTGTAAAGAAATGTTGACCTGTCAAGATGTGTTTTTATGAATGACAGTACAACACTGAACTTTAATTTTCTCCTGTGTTCTAAGTGATTTGGGCCTGGTAGATAAAGAAAGGGTAATGGGTGGAAGTAGGCCTCATTTGCATAAGGATCTTGAGAGATTCATAGTGGTATAGAGGACATTAAGTAGAAAGGGTTGGTATAGATGGGGCATGAGGATTATGTGTAGATTCAGTTGGGTGCAATGGATGAAGGTCAGAGGAATGTTTTATGTTGTATCCTTTTATTTTAATTTTGAACAGTACTGGAGTGCCGAGGCAGGCCCTCTGTCCAACTTGTCTCAAGAACTAATAGCGTTCTCAGCTCTTTCTGGGCTGATCCCCATTGCAGAAAGAACACACTCACCCCAGACCAAATACAGCAAGTGTGGTTTATTAAAGATCCAGAAACATTTGAGAAGAGATAAAGGAGGAAAGGTTTTGAGTCCAATGTTTCTTCTTTGGAATCTCCCGCCTCTGTACACCTATCTCAGGAATGAAAATCAAGGCCAACAGCTGTAAGATTTTTATGTTTTAAAGCTGGTGCTTTAATTTAAAGTAAAATGGAAGAATGAAGGGGGCATGTGAGCAGCTATGAATTCTGCTTGAACAACTTTGGATGGCTAACTTATTATAGGTTAAAGGAAACACACGTTGAGTTGCTGGGAAGATGATGCAAGTTGTTCATTCCTGTGTGGACAATGACATGAGCATCTGTTCAGATGGTCAGTCGATATTAGTCTACAATAAACTAAAGGAGATTTTAAGAATGTTTCAGAGATAGTAGGAACTGCAGATGCTGGAGAATCTGAGATAACAAGGTGTAGAGGTGGATGAACACAGCAGGCCAAGCAGCATCAGAGGAGCAGGAAGGCTGACGGT